ACCTGTCTGTACCAACCCTGAGTCACACTCATGTCCACTCACCTGTCACACTCACCTGTCTGTCACCAACCCTGAGTCACACTCACCTGTCTGTCACCAACCCTGAGTCACACTCACCTGTCACACTCACCTGAGTCACACTCACCTGTCACACTCACCTGTCACACTCACCTGTCTGTCACCAACCCTGAGTCACACTCACCTGTCTGTCACCAACTCCTCACCTGTCTGTCACCAACTCCTCACCTGTCTGTCAATACCTGAGCTCCATAAATCAACAAGTACAAAGTACTAGAACCGTGTACTGGGGTATTCTCATGAATTCGGCGTCACACTGAGAGAGGACAGACTTCTTTATAATAAATCCTCAGGTGTTTAAAACACGTCGTGCAGGTGGAGCAGCGGACAGTGACGTCACTCCTCCACCTCCGTGGAGTTCACACTTCATTGATAAAGGTTTGGTTCAGAGTCACCGTGAGGATGAAGGAAACACTTAAACAGAGGAGGGGGCTGGGTTACCGGTGAGCCGTTCTCCCTTAAATTCATCAAAATGCTGAGGAGGTCTGGCGTACATCCGGGACTTACCGTGGGCTGCTAGCATGCTAAAGGCTAGGCTAGCATTAGGCTAGTTAAGTTTATCGGTTTTAAAGTTCAAACTAACTCAACTAACTCACCAAAGTCAAACAAACAGAGATAACAACAGCAGCCAACACAGATTCATTTCGCTCTCTTTAAAACCAAACTCATAACTAAGAAGCGTTTTGTGAACATTAATCAGCCGTCTTACCTGTTAACGACAGCTAGCAGTCGGCTAACTAACTTCAGCTGCTAACAACAAGTTTCTTCTTCCGGTCTTAACGTCCAGCTGTTAGTTTACTGACGTCATGACCGAGACACCGGAGAAAAACAACCGGGAGAAGAATCCAAGAGAAGCCTGAGATAACAACAGACTGAACCAGGAAGAGTTCAACTACACACACACACACACACACACACACACACACACACACACAGAACACACACACACACACACACAGAAACACACACACACACACACACACACAGAGACACACACACAGACACACACACACACACACACACACACACAGAAACACACACACACACACACACACAGAAACACAGAAACACGCACACGCACACACACACACACACACACAGAAACACGCACACACACACACACACAGAAACACGCACACACACACACACACACACACACACACACACACACACACACACACACAGACACACACACACAGAGAGACACACACACACACACACACACAGACACACACACACACACACACACACACACACACAGAAACACGCACACATACACACACACACAGAAACACGCACACACACACACACACACACACACAGAAACATGCACACACACACACACACACACACACAGAAACACACACACACACACACACACACACACACACACACACAGAAACACGCACACACACACACACAGAAACACGCACACACACACACACACACACACACACACAGAAACACGCACACACACACACACACACACACACACACACACACACACACACACAGACACACACACACACACACACACACACACACACACAGACACACACACACACACACACACACACACACACACACTCAAAGTTGTGTTTCTTGTCCCTGACAGGCTCAGGTTGTTCAGTGACATCATTACTCATTTTGTCATTGTTCTGTCTTACTTGATTGTTGTTGTTTTTGGTCCCACACTTACCTTAAAGGAGCGGTATGTGACTCACACACCTAGTGTTTAAAATGGGTACTGCAGTCCAAAGAGAGCTGTATCATCCACTCTGCAGAGAAGGTGATTGGCTGCAACCTGCCGTCTCGCTCCACGACCTGCACGCCTCCAGGACCCTGAGGCCGACCCCTCTCGCCCCCGCACACAGACTGTTTGAGACCCTCCCCCCTGGTAAGAGGGGGGAGGGTCCTCCCCTCAGGCTGGATGATAGACCCCGTCTATTAATGCATGGAAGTTAACCGTGGAAGATATGAAAGAAACAGAGAAGATGAATTCATGTGTTACTGGAGTGAACGGACAAAGGAAAGTGATGACGTGGATAATAACAGGTATGTAAATTATAAAAGCGTCTGCTCAGTGAATTGTAGAATCTTGTAGTTGTAGAAATTAAATTATATTAAATCAAGAGATTAGTGAAAGAACAACCCCCCCTCCCCCATTCTATTTACTTTTATTTTCATTTTATTAGTAGTATTATTTTGTCTTTATAAATCTTATTTTAATTATCTTTTTTCTCTTCGTACCTTTTCTTTGGATTTTTATTTTATTTCATGTTGTATTTATTCTTTTTTTTTTATTATATTAAATATAAAAATGTGCCCGGATGAACAAAATTTGTGATGAAATGACAACTTGTAATGAAGTAAAACAGCCGGCAATCAAGTGTTAAAAAAAAAGACCAAAACCTCTCCCCACAGGAACAGTGTCTTCCCCTCTGCCGTCAGCCTGATGAACAATGTCCCCCCTTCCCCTCCCCCTCCCCTCCCCCCTCCCCCCTCCCCAGACTCAGAGTATTTATTTCCTTTGTGACTCACTCCTCCTGTGTGTGAATGTACTTGGTAATAAAAAACAATTCTGATTCTTAAACCAAACAATTTCAAATCTGAAGTTGTGTTTTGATTTTTAACTTGTTTTCTGTGATGAGAATCAACTCGATATAAAGATGTAGGACTAAGTTCCTTCAGAGAGGGGGCGCTGTTGGCTGAGTGGTTAGAGGGCACGCCCCACGTACAGATGCTGTACTCCTCCAAGCGGGGCGGCCCGGTTCAAATCCGACCTGTGGATCCTTTCCTGCACATCTCCCGCTCTCTCTCTCTGATTTCAGACTCTCCACTGTCCCACCTCTACAAAGAAATCTAAAATAATAAAGTTCCTTCAGAGAGAGGAGGCCGTGACCTCTGCCCTCACACACACACAAGCTCCTCCCCCCTGAAATGAAACACGTGGTGGTTGATGTATGATGATGATAGTTTTATTGCCATAAACAGTGTAGGAAAAAATTAACAACAAAAAAAGTTAAAACAGCCGTTTTTTATTCTATAGTACAGTGAAGCGATTCAAAGTGTTCATCAGCGACAAACACGTTCTGAAAGCGACGCGACCGAAAACCACCGACTGAAGGTTGAAACGCTGCTCGTCTGATCCACACTGAGAGCTCACCTGGGCCAGGTGCACGCCCTCCGCAGGTTCAAGAGCGGGAAATCAATGAATGTAGAAATCATAGTTTAAAGCACAAACTGACAATAACTTCATGGTCATAATCTATCTTACAAAACTTTTCCGGGTGGGAGTCGGCTTCAATTCTGAAAAAACAAAAAAACAGCAACAAAAAAAAAAATCCTTTAAGTTTCTTCTTTTCTGTTGGCGAGTCGACGTGTCAGCGCCACCCTCTGGTCAGGAGTATGTGGCTGCTGATTTAAATGAATCAGGGTTGCTGCATTCAAAGACAGGTGGAAGAAAAGAAGAGGTGGAGAACAGAGAGATGAAAAACGGGGCAAAAGGAAGGGAAAACAAAAAATTTAGCATAACAGGTAAGAACACATTTTTCGCCGTTTCCCTCTCTTTCATTTTAAACATTCTTTCTTCCCCTCCTTCATCCCTTCCTTTCCTCCATGATGGTGAACTCTCTCTGTACTGTCGCTGCTAGGAGACGAGACTGAGTCAGTGAGGGGAGCGAGCCCGAGAGAAGGGGAATCAGGAAAACGTGAAAAGATGTCAAAAGAGAAAAGACAGAAATTCAAACATCCAATCACGTCGCAGAACAAACGACACACAGGAAATACTTCTCACGATGCGGTCTTCACTTTTTGTCACCTGTTCTGTTTCTTGTTTAACTCGAGGGAGGGGGGAAGGGGAGGGGGAGGGGGGAGGGGCTTGTTGGCGTCACCGTGTGGTCGAAGGCGTTCCTGATTTTTTTTTGTCGATGTTCCTTTAAAAAAAAAGTATGAGAATGAGGTGAATCGAAGGCGAGAGAGAGACTTTGTGAATCCTCTGCTCTGTTCTCGGGTTCGTCCCGTTCAGGTGAGATTTTCAGTGTGGATCAACGGACCAATCAGAGAAGAGAACAATGTTGTTGATTAATACCTGCGTCCTCGACTCTAAATCTGATTGGACTGGACAGCTTTCCTGTGTCCGACATGTTGCAGTTATTCTGCAGACCGAGACAACCAATCAGAGGGCTTTATCTGTGCTGCGTTCAGGGACACTGTGGTAGCTTAGAAACCTCTGGACCAACCCGGAGATGCTGTCGATCCTTCGTCTGTATTATCCTGAAATTTGATTAATTTATTTCCAGAAGAGTCCGTTCTGTTAGGAAGCGATTTTTTCCTTTTTTTTTACACTGGACTTGAACGCAGCATTAAGGAGTTTCAGGTTTTTAAGGGAGCCAAACGGACAATTATCCCACAGTCAGTGAACGCAGCACCTGTTTTCTCCGGCTTCTCAGCTCTCCACTCTGATTGGTTCAGCTATGTAACAGGTGTCCTACCAGCAGTGCATCATGGGAGTTGTAATCAGATCATCGCCACTCTAAAGCTTCAAACTTTTCTTCTTAATTAAAACAAAAAAGTTTCCATAAAGTGAAGTCTGCTGCACAAACCTGTGGGTGGGCGGAGCTTGTCTAGAGGCCGTCCCAACAAAGACTAAGCCCCGCCCACCAGGGACGACACGCAGCTCAAATCAAACACCGACACTTTGATGACAAAATATGTAAAAAGACTCTCAGCTCCAAACTGGGATGTCTGATTAATGAGTCACCACGGCAACAAGCGACAGCAAAGAAAGAAAATAAAAAGGTTAGCCTCTGACTGGACCAATCAGGATGAGGGGGCGTGTCTACAAAATACAAAAACAAAAATGGCTTTACAGGTTAAACGCCTGGGCTTCATTCTGTTGGCGAGTAGATGTTGAGTGACCTTTGAGGCCGGCGGCAGAGGAGGGGGTGGGGCTACAGGACAAAGCAGGTATGACATCACAGTAAGCAGAGGTGGAGGTGAGGAAAGGGGGCGGGGCTGAGAAATCCAAAGTTGGGACATGCATTCACAAGCTGCTCGTTGTGTTTGTGTTACAGATTTATTACTCAGTGTCAGAGTGTGTGTCATCTTAGTTCCCACTAAGAATAAATATTCTGCTCAAACGGAACTCAAACAGGAAGAAGAAGAAAAAGCAGCAGCAGCAGAAGAAGAAGAAGAAGAAGAGAAGAAGAGGAAGAAGAGGAAGAGGAGGGCGGCGTCTGCTCGATCGCTGTCAGTCAGTCAGAGAGGAAGGAAAGCTAACCGTGCCGTTTAAACTCATCCAGTTGGCGTTTTTCTTTTTCCTCGTTAAAGTTCTCTATCTGTCCCCCTCCCCTCCCCTCCCCCCCCTTCCCCTCCCCCTCCCTCCCCCTGCCCCCCTCCCCCTCCGGCCCTCTCGGCCTTCAGTCTCTTTAAGGTTTTTCCTTGGGGATCACCTCCTCTCGTGGCTTCGCTCCGCCGAAGATGGCAGAGTTGGGGTTGGCGACCTGGTTGAGCGGCGCGGCGACGGTCCGGGGCTTCAGCTGCAGCCGAGGCCGCTGAGCGCGCTCCTCTGGACGACGTAAACAAACAAACAAACAAACAAACAAACAAACAAAGAGAGGAAAACAGTTACACACTCTGGATTCATCCAGTCATCAAACTCTCAAAGGTTTCATGTTTGACATTCTGAATATTCTTACATTTGATCTTCACAAACGAGAGGAGAGGAGGAGAAGAGGAGGAGAGGAGGAGAGGAGGGGGCAGTAGGAGAGGAAACAAGAGGAGAGGAGAGGAGGAGAAGAAGGGGGCAGTAGGAGAGGAAACAAGAGGAGAGGAGAGGAGGAGAAGAGGACAGTAGGAGAGGAAACAAGAGGAGAGGAGGAGAAGAGGAGAGGAGGACAGTAGGAGAGGAAACAAGAGGAGAGGAGAGGAGAGGAGGAGAGGAGGGGGGCAGTAGGAGAGGAAACAAGAGGAGAGGAGAGGAGGAGAGGAGGAGAGGAGGACAGTAGGAGAGGAAACAAGAGGAGAGGAGGAGAGGAAACAAGAGGAGAGGAGGAGAGGAGGGGGGCAGTAGGAGAGGAAACAAGAGGAGAGGAGAGGAGAAGAGAAGAGGAGAGGAGGGGGGCAGTAGGAGAGGAACAAGAGGAGAGGAGGAGAGGAAACAAGAGGAGAGGAGGAGAGGAGGGGGCAGTAGGAGAGGAAACAAGAGGAGAGGAGAGGAGAGGAGGGGGCAGTAGGAGAGGAAAGAAGAGGAGAGGAGAGGAGGAGAGGAGGGGGGCAGTAGGAGAGGAAACAAGAGGAGAGGAGGAGAGGAGGAGAGGAAACAAGAGGAGAGGAGGGTAGTAGGAGAGGAAACAAGAGGAGAGGAGAGGAGAGGAGGAGAGGAGGAGAAGAAGGGGGCAGTAGGAGAGGGCAGTAGGAGAGGAAACAAGAGGAGAGGAGGAGAGGAGGGGGCAGTAGGAGAGGAAACAAGAGGAGAGGAGAGGAGGAGAGGAGGGGGCAGTAGGAGAGGAAACAAGAGGAGAGGAGGGGGCAGTAGGAGAGGAAACAAGAGGAGAGGAGGGGAGAGGGGGCAGTAGGAGAGGAAACAAGAGGAGAGGAGGGGAGGAGGGGCAGTAGGAGAGGAAACAAGAGGAGAGGAGGGCAGTAGGAGAGGAAACAAGAGGAGAGGAGAGGAGAGGAGAGGGCAGTAGGAGAGGAAACAAGAGGAGAGGAAACAAGAGGAGAGGAGAGGAGGGGGCAGTAGGAGAGGAAACAAGAGGAGAGGAGAGGGCAGTAGGAGAGGAAACAAGAGGAGAGGAAACAAGAGGAGAGGAGGGGGCAGTAGGAGAGGAAACAAGAGGAGAGGAAACAAGAGGAGAGGAGGGGGCAGTAGGAGAGGAAACAAGAGGAGAGGAGGGGCAGTAGGAGAGGAAAAGAGGAGAGGAAACAAGAGAGAGGAGGGGCAGTAGGAGAGGAAACAAGAGGAGAGGAGGGGGCAGTAGGAGAGGAAACAAGAGGAGAGGAGAGGAGAGGAGGGGGCAGTAGGAGAGTCTGGCTCCAGGTGAATTCTCCTCTTTATATCCTGCTGTGTTCTCACATCAGCTCACTCTGACTTCCTGCACAATAAAAACTGATAGAAACAAATAAAAACCTTCAGACGGTTCCCTGAAGTCTGTCGCTCCTCCGCGAGGAGGGGGTCCCCCCTCCCTAAAGCGACCGGCTCCGGGACCTCCACCTCCACCTGCGCCTCCCCCCCTTCTGTCTCCAGGGC